TGGTGAAGGACAGGGAAGTCTGGCGTGCTGCAGTCCATGGGATCACAAAGAGGCAGACAGAGCAACTGAACTGAACTGATGCCACATGATGATCTGACTGGATGCTGGAACATCCCAGTGAATGTTAGAAATGTCCCACACCTGAGCCCCCTCCCAGACCACCGCGTCCCTGTGTGGCTCTGGGTCTGGGCAAGGACATTCCCAATCAAGGACTGACTCTGAGGAGCAGCCAGAACTGAAATCTGAGATATGAAAACAGACTAAATTGTCTCCCTGTGACTGGGGAGATGCTGCCTGGGGGCAGAACTCCCTCCTGACTGTGGAGTCCAGCAGAACAGAAGACAAAGTGTCTGTGGCAGAGGAGGACCTCCTTGCAGGCATGGGTGCTGCAGACGGGGGACCCTTCACAGAAGAGGGAGAGAAACCGCCAGAATTTCAGGAAACTCATTCACTGAAACCAAGCCCCCTTGCCCGGAAGCTTCCACCTAGGGAACTTGCTTAGAGATGGAGGACACTTTCTTTTTATTTTTTGAAATTAATTTTTATTGGAGTCCAGTTGTATTTCAGCGTTGCGTCAGTTTCTGCTGTACAATGAAGCGAGCCAGCTATATGTATACATATATCCCCTCATTTTTGGATTTCCTTCCCATTTAGGTCACCACAGGGCATTGAGGAGAATTCCCTGTGCTATCCAGTAGGTTCTCATTAGTTATCTATCTTAAACATAGTATCAACCTGTCAAATGTGTCCATCCCAGCCTCCCAGTTCTCCCATCGCTTGGAGAACGTTTTCTGAGAGTCTGAAGGGGTCCAAGCTGCAAAGAGTCCGAGAAGCACCCTCTTTTCTTTCTTGTGTGCCTCTGCAGCTTTTCCATCATTCTTCCAACCTGTCCTGCCCGACAGGTTAGACTGTTCTCAACAGAGGCTTGTTTATTTGAATTATCTCATGGAGGTCCACATTTAATCCTGACTCCATTAAAAGCCCACGGAAGACAGAGCCGTAGGAACCCATTTCCAGGAGCTGCGTTTCAATGCCTGCCCGTATGACAGGGCGGAGCGAGGTCTAGACAGTCATGGCAGGTGTCGGGAGCCCTTTGTGGCTGGGGACTGGGACAGGGGCCCTGATTTGGTTCCCTGATGAGATCCTGCGAAGAGATGGCCTGTGAAATGTTTGAGTGCCTTAAAATGATGTTGTTGATAAAGGATGAAACCTACCTGCACACACATTATACACATAGTGTGCTGCATTGGCCTCAAAGTCTGTTTGAGCTTGTGCATACGCCATAAAAGAAAAACCTGAATGAACCTTTTGGCCAACCCTAGATTTCATCTCCGCAGACTTCACTGGGGGTGGGGGGGGCACTGAGGATTGGTTGCTCTCTTTGCTCTGACACAGGCTGGCACTGGTGGTGAGAATGGCCTTGGCATCCCAGTTTTTGGGCACACCTGAAGCTCCTCTCCCTCCAGTCCAGGCTCCCCACGCCCCAAGGGCCTCTTGGGATCACTGTGTTCTGGTGAGGAGACAAAGCTGGGTGCTGTCTCTTTAAACAGTAGAGGCTGAGCCGCTCTCAGGCCACCATGACATATCCCAGCATTGGACCAGCCCCTTAATAAACTGGATGGACGCCTGGTCTGGCTTCAGTTACTGGGGAGCACCACCAGGGCGCATTTCGGGGATCCCGGTGGGAAGCAGCAGGACTAGACCTGCCAGCTGCTGGTGTCTCGGCTGCCCTGTCCTGGGAGGGGCCTGCCTGACACGCGTCTGAGTGCCAAGAGAGCCGCGTGGAGGAAGGGGTGACCCTGTTTGGCCTGGTGAGTTATCCTGGCAGACTGTGCCTCTGGATGGTGTGTGCTCATGATTTACAGAGCACTTGCTGCCCAGCTCCACGCCCTGCAAACCACAAATGGAAAGGATCGCAGGGGAGACAGCGCGTGTGTGTTGGAAATGACCAGAGAATCCGAGGGTTTCTAAAATCCTTGGCTAAGAGCTGGATATACACTCTGGCTGGGGAGGCCAGAAGGGCCCTCTGGAAGCACCTAGAAACTCCGGCACATCCAGAGTTGAAGGGAGGAAGGGGACCAGACATGCCTGCTCTGATGGAAAACAGCTCCACGCACACGGCTGGCAGGTGACCTTGGATTGTAAGCAGGTTGGAGAGAGGCTTCCACTTGTAATGGAGCCCCGGCTGGGACCTGGGTGTGGCCGAGCTGGTGACATCGCCCTAGGTGGCGGCATTTGTCTTCCACAGCTTCGAGCTGAGTGGGTAGAAGGCAGGCGAGGGGCAGTGAAGTGACTGATTGACAGGGATGGGTGGGTTCAGATGTCCTGCAGTGTGACTATTGTGTGACCTGGTTAATGACTAAAACCTTGGGTGCAAAGGAAAGGAAGAAATGAGCTATACCTTACCATGTGTGCACTTTTCTAGATGTCTATATTTCATTCAGAAGCTTAGCTGGAAAAAAAGACAAGAAGGGAAGAAAATCCTGAGTAGATATGCTAATATTTATAAAGTGCTTAGAACAGTCCTGGGAACCTGGTGATCATGTCAATGTTGGTTTAATAAATAAAAATTCTGAATGGCACAAAGGCAGGCAATAATTTCCAGGGCAAACCCAGCCTAGAATATGACCCAGGAGGAAAGTGATCACTCTCATTCGTTTAGTTAGTCCTTCTACCTACGAATGAGCTTTCAGTCTAGGGGGCTGATAAGCGATTTTAGTTTAGGGGGTCGGGCTTTCCTTAAAAGGTTGTTGTGAGGATTAAATGTGAAATAATAATAATAGTGACAATTTCTTGGGTACAGCTGATCCTTTATTTGGTTCCAGACACTATGCTATTTCACACACTATCTCTTTTAATCAACACCATAACCCTTTAAAATGGGCATTCTCAGTCCTGTTTGCAGATGAGAAAACTGAAGCACCCCAAACCTCAGCAAACTGACCAAATCCACAGCCCTGAGTAAGCAGGCAAATCAGGTTTATTTGAGCCTCCATGCCTAACCACTGGACCACACTGCCTCAGAGTCCTGCTAACCCACCTGCCATATCACTGGGCAGTGAACAAAAATTTCCCAACGATTCGTCTTTTTAATCTAAGGATTTTTGAAAGACCATTGTTTGAAGAAAATTTCCAAATTATCTTTGCTTGAAGAATGTATAATTAGCTACCACAGGCAGCTGCTTTCAGATAGTAAAATAAGTAGATGGGGTTATTTGAGTCATTCAGAGCGGTGATGTTCTGTGACACAGAGCCCTGGCAGGTGCTGGTGACTTGTGTATGACCTGCTGCGTTGGCAGGCAGACCTGTAACGCCCACCTTTCCGCTCCGCGTTCCTGCATTAAGGCGCGCTCCCAGAGCGTCTTACCCTCTTACCGGGGCGCACCCACCCTGCGCCCGGAAGGGCTATCCTCTCTCCCCGTGATGCTGGGCGGACCGCCTTCAGCCGGCTATGAATCAGCTGATTTCCCTGGCTGCTCTTCCCCCACCTCAAATGGCCAACTCCCCACCCTGTGGCCGGGGACGCCAGCCCAGACCGGGCACCAAGCCAGCAAACTCGCCTGGAGCGTACCCAGTTGTGGTCTGGATTTGCCCAGCGACCCCCGGGCGCGCTGTCCTGCAGTGGGCAGCCTTTTCCCTCCTCCTCCAACTCTCCCCCAAACCGGCCCGCTAGATCCGTCCCGGGAATCCGAGGCACCTGGCGCACCGTCTGGGCGCAGACGGGATCGCGCGGGCGGGCTTGGTGCGGGTGAGCCGCGCTAGGACGCCGGGGCAGGCCGGGGGCGCCAGGACTCCAGGGGAGGGATGTCTGCCTGCGCTTAAGAGCCATCTCCCCCTATCCGTGGAAGGGGCATCCAGGCTGGGCCTCCGCGTGGGCGCGGTCCGAATGCGTGCGCCTCAGACCCCCGCGCTGGGCACCCGCGGGGGCAACCTCCGGTCGAGTTTCCCACGTGGGCGGAGGGGCCAGTATATCGGTCAACTCTTGGTCTCGGTAAAGTCAGCGAAGTCAGGGGAAACGGAGGTGAGAAAGCTGCGCGGTCTGCTAGTTTCCAGGATAAGTCCCAGCAGTTTTGCCGTCACCGACTTTCTCCCGGGGCGCAGCGTAAGGCCCAGGCTGTCTCCTGCCCTCCCTCTCTCCCCGCTGCCCTCTCCCCTCCCCGAGTCCCGCCCCCCTGCACACGCTGACCCAGGGACACACCCTACTGCAGCGACGCAGACAGGGCGTTGTTCCCGTTAAAGGGGAACGCCGGGAGCCTCCCTCCTGCCCCTCGCTTGGCGCGCGTAGCCCCGCAGCGCAGCTGTCTTTGCGGACGCCAGCCGCTGAGCGGACGCACGGAGTGTGTGCCCGAGGCAGCTCTGAGGATCTCTGAGGATTGGGGACAGCTATCCTTTGGGCCGTAAGTGCTTTGGCCGGGAGAGTGGAGGAGACGGAGGAGGAATGTGGGCATCTTCCATCGACGGCGCCAGAACGCGCGGAGAAAGGGGGCTTCGGGCTGGCGCCTTCCCCGATCGCTGGCAGAACAACGCCTGTCTGGCGTCGTTCCTGCGGGGCTTGCAAGGGTCTGGTATGGAGAGCCTGTGGGTCTGTGAACCGCCGGGAGCGCGGGTGCTGATGTCTGGATGTGGGGCAAGGGCGGAGGACTTTTCCTCTCGCTGGAGAGTCGCCTACTCGGAGACTCGCTGGCAAAGCAGTCCCTACGGTGGACATCTTCAGGGTACAGGGTCCCCGGACCCCCCTCCCCCAATTTCTAGCTACATACCCGTTCTTATTTCTCTGGGCTCCCCCCACTCCCCCCCGCCTCCTCGGCATGAGGAGTCACTGGATTTAATTTAAACCTTCTGGGAGACGTCAGAAAACCCTGCTTATTTCCTCTGCACGTTCCAGGGTTTTTTTTTTTTTTTTTAAAGTGTCGCTGAAGGAGAGGACGGAGGGGCCTGTGACTGGGTACTTTAAACACTGAAGTTATTGAATCGTTGTTTCTAGCCCAAGACTTTGTCCCTCAGCAGTTCCTTAAACGCAGCTCCGTCTTCGCAAACAGGCGGATCATCCCGCAGATCAGACGCGGGATGTGAGGTGTGGGGTGAGGACCGCACCGCGGCGGATAGAAGAGATCCCGCCGGCTCCGTGCGGCTGCACTTATTTCTGGGGGGCTCACCCCTCGCCTCACCGCCTTTCCTTCGCACGGACACTTGCTCCCCTCCAGCCAGGCCCCTGAGCGCATCGGCCGGACCAGCGCCCGGGGAGGGCAGCAGGCGCCGGCCCCAGCAATTCTCCCGGGCGGTTCTTTCCTCTTCCCTCGGCTCTGCGCCTGCTTTCCGGGGCCGCGGGTGTCTTTGCCAAGCGGTGCTGGGGTCGGGGCGGCTCCCCGGCGCGGGCCAAACTTGGGTAGAAACTCGGAGCCTAACGAAATGCGGAGCGCTCTGGGGTCTGGGGACCCGGCTCCCCGCCGCGCGCTCTCCCTCCCAGCACGCCGCTGGTATCCCTGGGCCTCTCGCAGAGACCTAGGCCCCTGGCCCTGGCCCCCACCTCCACTCCACCGGGCGAGCGCTGGCTCTCCCTTATCTGCCCCCCTTCCACAAGCTGGGCCGCCCCCAGAGCGCCCGGGTGGGTGGAGACGCGCTGCAGCCTCTGCTTGGCACTCTGGAAAAACCTCCCCTCCCGGGGAGACTTCGACGTGCGTCGTGCGTACCGCTTGTTTTGTTCCAAAAGCAAAAGATGTTCGGCCCGGCGGACTGCGGGGCGGGGATGCTGCGGTCGGCTGCTGCCCTCTCTCGGCGGCCGCGGGGCGGGGTGGGCGGGCGGCGAGCCAAGCCCGGGCATTCCGAGCGCAGGACCCTCCCTCCTCCCCTCCCTTCTTCCCTCCCTCCCTCGCTCGCCCGCTCGGGCCAGTTCGCCGGACCTCACGTCCAATTCGGCTGTGTCTCCTGTCAGACCAGACGGAAACTCCGCTGAGCAGAACCCGCCGCCAGAATGCTGCTCCTGCTGCTGGGTATCATCGTCCTCCACGTGGCCGTGCTGGTGCTGCTGTTCGTGTCCACCATCGTCAGCGTGAGTGTCTGGCCGGGCAGTGCGCGCGCGGGGCGGCGCGCCCGGAGCCCACCCCGAGCTTGGCCTCCGGACCACGATTCCCGCCGCGCCCCCTCAAGTTTGCAGACTGCGAGTCTCAGACATCCTCGGGCCTTTTGCAGTTTCTGGCAATCCGCGCCTTTTCAGTAGTTTTTGAGAAAATCAGAGCGGATTCAGGGGAGGGGAGGAAGCAAGCAAGCGCTGGGCTGGATCAGCACGCAGGCCTCACTTTAAAGAAAGTCAGTGCAGATCCAGGGTCCCCCCTACCCCCTTCATGTGATAAGCTTGTTTAGCATTTTTCTTGATGGGGCGGGGGAGGAGGGGCGGTGGTGGTTGTTCTTGAGGAAGGAAGTGGAAAATTTAGAAAGGTCTGTTTTTTTCTCCAAATGGCATCCATCACATGGGTGACTTAGTTCATAAAACGGCCTTTAGGACTTGAAACTGGCAAGTTAAAACTAGATTTTCCTTAATGGTTCATAGTCCCGGGTCTGTTTTGTGCTGTGGACAGGGCACCTTCTTAGAAAAAAGCCTTCCCCAGTACAAACAGATCATTGGGATAACTTGCATTACAAAATCAGCAAACATCCAGCTCAGTAGGTTTCAAACTTATTTTCTTAAAAATGAGCCCAGACTTGGGCAGTCATGCAACTGTGGTCTTAACTTCTTAATAGACAACAAGTCCCAGGTATGATGTTCTTGCTTGGTTCAAAGGTTGAAAAACAATTATTTTGGGGACTGATGCGTTGATTCATCACTTACCAGCATCTTCCCAACATCTTAACTGTAGGTTGACAGGAAGTACCAATAAGAAAATGAGTTCATGGCATGGGGACTGGCACTCAGGAGATCAGGGGAGGAGAGACGGCTTAGATGCAGGTGTCCTGGCTTAAGTCCGTGGCTCCTTCTACTGCTGTACACACCTTGGCACAGAGCAACTCATATTTGTGAGGTTCTTTTCCACTTACAAAGTGCTTTATACTTGCAAGGCCCTGGCCCCCCCGTGGACAAAAGGTTTGGGTCAGAGCACCACCTCTCCCCTTTCTCTAGCACCGTGGGCTCTGGTTGGACAGTGGATGAGGCTGCTCTTTGCCTTGCCTTGGTCTTCTCCCTCCCCCTCTCTGTCACTCCTCACTGCCTCTTCTGACTTACTGCATCTGTTCTTTCTAGCAATGGATGGTGGGCAATGGACACGCGACTGACCTCTGGCAAAACTGTAGCACCTCCTCGATGGGCGGTGTCCAGCACTGTTTCTCGTCATCAGCAAATGGTGAGGATGGTTTTTTGTTCCACAAACTCGTCCTGGTCTGTCGGTGACATGCCTCTCTCTCCAGACTTAGAAGCACTTGTTCTTGGAAGACTCAAAAGCTAGAGCGGTGTTGCTGGGCTGGGGTGAGATGTGGCCAGGGGCTGGGGAGCCAAGATGAAAGGAGAGGGGCGGTAGCTTCACTGGCTAAGCTGAGATCTCAGGGAATTGTGCATTCTCTCTACGTGGAGAGAAGCCCTAGACCTGCCCGCCTGTTCTGCTCATCACTTAGTGTACTTCTTTTAGTGAGTGAAGAAATATGGATGCAGATAAGCAATGATGATGCAAAATCTCAGGCAGATTCTTCTGGTAGTTTTGATCCAACAAGCAAGTTTGGTTTGGTGGTGGAATATCCAGGGGTGCCCTGGGTCTTCCTGGTGCAGTGATGGAGGGGCTGTCCCAGGGATCGATGGGCCCCTTTTGGTCTCCAGTTACAGGACTTCCTCTGGGTCCTGGGCCTCAGCGATCCCATTTAGCCATCAGAGCTGTAGAGTGATTCCTTGTTGCAAGCTGGGGCACTGACACTGTTTGCACACCCCCAAGCTGAGCCCTGGGGTATTTTTACTCTGTCTTCAGCATCTTTGCTTGTGAGATGTTGGAAACTGGGCTTTCTTGGGTTCAGGTTAAAGAGATTATTTGGCAGCGGAAGCACAGCCTTAGATCCTTGCAGTATCCAGAGGGAAGGAGGGCTCAGCAGGGACTTGGGGTCTGTGAATGTAGAGAGGCAGTGACAAATATGATGCAGTCTTTTTGGTGGCTGGGAAGTGTCTGGTGGCAGTGTGGACCCTGGCAGGGGCCACAGTGCCTGGTGTTGAGAAAACAGTGGGCCAGGCTCTTCACAGTCTCATGGTCCAAAGGATGTGTCCTCAGCCTGGACATGAGGTTTCAGTGTGGCCGCAGCTGCCCCTTGATCAGATATTTCTGTGGAAGATGCTGTAGCCAGTGAGAGAAATCATTTCAGATGCAGTTGAACCAAGCAGGCAGGGCAGTGGCCATTGGTTCTGGCTTCTCACAGTCCAGTTTCACTGCTGGACTTTCCTTCTCTGGGCTGTGTACCCAAATTGTCCCTGAAGCATCACCAACCAAACATCTCTAACCTCAGCATAAAGAGAAACTGCTACAAGTACTCAAGGAGGATAGCCAAGCAGTAGAAAACACTGTTTTATGAGTCTGCTTTCCTGGGGGCAAGAAGAGAGAGATCCCAGCCCTTGTGGAAGGGAGCAGTCCTTAATTCTTTTCTCTGAGTCTGTGAAGGATATTGGATTAAAACCACTGCATGGTGAGTTGGTAGCCAAGTAACTGACACCCTCAGGAGTGTCTGAGCATGTGGCCGGAGCACTGCTTGGCCTGAAAGCCACAGCATCCGGTGTCTCCTGGGTTAGGTCTGGCTGAAGTTCCCTGAAAGGTTGAGGATGGGAGGTGCTCTGCTCCCTACTGACACCTGGTGGCCATGCATGGTGACTCCGCCCACAAGGGCTGGCTTTCCCTGAGACCCCCGGTACCCACTCACACCTCCCCCAAGTGGTGTGTGGCCATGTGGAGTTGGCAGCGGATTCTACACTCACAGGCCCGGAAGGGGCAGTTTTGGCAGGCATGTTCCAACCCGGCTGGGTTTCAAGAGGGATGAGTCGGCAGAGGAGCAGGGATCTAAATTGTCCTGCAGCAGGGCAGCGATGTTCGGGTACTGCTGCCCTGCCTTCTGCATCGGCCACGATAGGTTAGGAATGGCTACTGTACCGTCCTCCCAGCAGCTACCAAAGATGCATCAGTGTCGTTTCAGTTGGGAACTTCCCATTGCTCAGCTGGCTCTTTGTGTTCAACTTCATCTTCTTGGATTTGCTGACAGTGACCTTGGAGTGTTTCATCTCAGGTCTTTATCCAAATCCACATTGTTGCTTTCCTGGGGTGGGGAGTTCCAAGATCCTGCTTCTCCCCTACACCTGCCTTCTCGTCTCTCCCAGGAAGGGCATTTTTGAGGAGTTCTGGACAAGCTATGTTTGTTTGCACCTGAACTTCTAAGTAAGATGTTCCCATTTCAGCTTCCCCGGTGGTCAGTGTCTCAGTATCTCTGTTCTTCTAATGGGTCAGCTTGTGTTACAGTCTAAGCTCTCATGGATTTGAAGCCACTGGGCCTCCTTTGCCTTTTGGATTGGGTTTAACCATTTCTGTGTCACACAAGAGGTGAAAAAAAAGCATAATTAAGAAAAAAATTAGACTGCTTTTACAGATGAACCCTGTTAGTCATAAACCAGTCACCTTGGTTTGTATTTGCTCTTAGAATGTTTCAAACATACCTTTTATTTAAGTCATTGAAAGTAATTTGTTGTTGATACTTGTTTGTGAAGAATATGTCAGCAAGCTTGTTATGTGAAAATACGTTGGTTTACATGACTTGCTATTTTTTTTTTGAAGGGGCATGTCTTTGTGTGAGTGGTGCTGGATCCCTGCACCTCTGCAGGGCTTCATTCTTCTTTTTTTTCTCTTATATGAATGGTGCTTGTTACCACATTGACTGCATGACAGTCAAACATCTGTGTTACATAGCTGGAAGGAGACATATTAGATTTTCCTTGAACTCCCTCTTTGTATTAGAGTTGGTTTTAGATTTCTTACTAAATGCCCTCAACTTTGTCTGCTTTTCAATTATCTAAATGCATTTACATACATTTAAAATATAAATCCCTGGCTCTATCCTGATCCTGGCTGCAGGCAGAGGTGAAGGAGGCCAGTGAGGGAATATTTATCATGACCTTGTTTTGAGTGCCTCTTGGCCCAGGGCCTACAAGGACTTGTAGACTCTGGACTTTGGCCTTGATGGTCCTGAGCTCTGTGAGGAGTCAGGAGATCACTGCGGGGGGATGAAGACAGCACAGGCCAGATGCCTGAGGAGTCGGGGCAGGCAGGCAGGCAGAGCCCGAGTTCAGGGGAGGAAGTGGAAGGCAGGTCTCCTGTGGGAGGTGGGATTTGATCCATCCTCCAAAGGATGGGCAGGATTTACATAAACACAGGCAAGGAGGAGGCAATTCCCTGTTGAGGCAATGACATGACCTAAAGCTAGGGGAAAGGCAATGGGGGGACGCATTAGATAAATCAGCTAGCATTCTGGTTGGGATTAAGATTGACCCCATAAAACAAAATATCTTTAAATGGTAGTGACTTAAATAAGACAGCTTATTTCTCTCTCTTTCAAAGTAAGTATGGAAATAGGCAGCCTAACATAGATATGGTAATTCCAAGAAACTGTCAGAGCCCTAGGCACTTTCTACCTCATTTCTTTGTCTAATCCTTATGGAGCAGACAGATGCTACAGCGCCAGCCATTTCATCTCTGCTTCAAGCCACAGAATAGAGAAAGGAGAAAGAGAAGAATGTGTCCCCCTCCCTTTTAATGAAACATCTTCAGATAGACCACACACTTCTGTTTTTGTCTTTTCCTGGAAGTCAGTCACAGAGCCACACCCAGTGTCAAGGGAGGCTGAGCATGGAGTCATTTGACTTCATGGGATGCATGACTTCTTAATTCACAGAAATTTAAGAGCAAGCACCTCCCAGTAAGCCTGGCGTGAAACACTTCTCTTCAAGGCTGTGACTACCCCTGGTCCATACCCAGTCATACTCTGACAATAGCTCTGGTGTGTCCTATGCTGTTTCAGAGTGGAGCCAAATTACTTTAGGATTCTGCAAACAGTCCATCTCTGCCGTGTCCTGGGTCCCCGCAGTAGCACAGTGACCCATGTTGGCAATCGGATGGTCCTTCGACTTCCTTCTGTTTCTCTCTACTTCCCCAGTCATTAACAGCTTTTACTGTTTCATGACGTCTGTTGAATCCTTGTTTCCTCCCAGTCTGGTCCTCTCTTCTGACCTCCAGACCAGCCTGGCCAGCCACCCACTGGACAATTCTGCTGGGATGTCTCAGAGGCGTCCCCAAACCAGTCAGCCTCCATCCTCCTCCACCCAGTCTCCCCCTTTGACAGTTTCCAATATTTTAGTGGATGCTGTCTCACCATCCAGTGAGCTTCACACTCAGAGTCTGCCTTGGATGTGTCTCTTCTTGCTCCTCAGAATCATCCTGGTCCCACTGGTCACTGGTCATCCCCATCCACATTGCACCAGGGCCACTGCAGCAGCCTCCTTACTCCTGATCTTTCTTAATTGTTCCTCCTTTTGTACACTAAATCCAGGGTGATATTTAAAAATACAAACCTTGTCATATCATTCTCAATTTAAAACCTCTTGGCGGTCCCTTTGGTCTCCATCTTCAGGTGAACATCTTTGCTAAGGTCCATATGTCTACCTGAATGATCTGCTTCTGTTAAACCTCACCCCATCTCCTCTCCCCTTCATCTAGGAATTTCAGCCTTCTCTCACTTGGATCATGGACTTCCTGCCTCAGGATGCCTCCTGTCCTCCTTTCTCCCCTTTCTCCCCAGTCTCCTCCCTTCTCTCCTGTGTCCTTTCATGCAGGACTATTCACTGAACACCTGTCTTGCAGAAGATTCCGCTGCAGACACTTAGGGTACCAGTGGATGAGAGCTTCCATTTTATTGAAGATCAGTAAATAAATGATCTTTACTGGTAGATCCGTCAATAAATGTGGGTAATCAGGAGGCAGTGATAGGAAGGAGGAGGAGAATAAAACACGGTGATGTGAGGGATTGGGGTGGGGAAGGAATGACCTCTTGAGGATGACCAGGAAGGAGTCAGCCACAGGGACATCAGTGGGCAGATTCCAGACAGTGGGGCTCCCAGGGACAAGGTCCCTGGGGTGGGAAGGAGCCTGGCAAAGTCGATGGGCAGAGGACACAGGGGATGGAGAAGCAAGCAGGGCCTTCTAGATCCCAGGGAGGACTCTGGGGCATGTGGATGGGGTTCTAAGTTTCCTGATTTCATTTGGACCTGCTCTGTCTTGTATACATTTCTCAGCTGTTCTGTTCCAAGTCGGAGTAACAATCCTGTGCCTTTATA